ACATCTCCACAAGCAAATGAACAGAGTATCCACTTGTTTTTCAAAGTAAAATTGTAAGACAGGTTTTACTCAAGCAATCAGATTTCCATGATATACATTAATTATTATTATTCATTGCATTAAGCTGATATCACCTGACAGTAGTATTCCTTTTTTTTTACATTTCCATAGAATCAGCAAACAGTTCACACAGCTTTTTTCCCTGGTTCTAAAAAGATATTACAGAGAATATATCATATATATTTTAAATAAAAGTAAGTAGAGGCTGAAATTCATACAAAACTCTAACAAAAATAGTGATTAATTTCCTATCATTACTCAAAGAACTTTATTTGTTGTGAAACAGCCCAGGTTCCAAAGGGTGTTGGTAGAAGACAGAGATATTTATTTATTTTTGATTTTTAAAACTATCTGCCTCCCCAGCCCTGGAGGCTGCTCACCTGTGGACAGTAGGAACACAGCAGAAATACAGAATCTGTGGAAACATAACAGGAAAAGAGAATCTAGATATGATTTTCTTTTCTTCTGAAGTGACTCTTCATGTGACTCTTCAGAGACATTTGGGAAATATTTTTACTTTTGAAAAACAGGTGAAATGAAGTGTGTAAAGTGTTCTTCATAAAAACCAATTCAGTGAAGCTAAGCTGGTTTTTGAAAGGGAATTTGTTACTAACTGAAGAATTGCATCCTTTTAAATACATAGAAAGAAGCAGCACGGATATAGACAGCAATGTATACAGTAAATCTTGTCCCGTTCACTAAGTGTGTTGTGGATGCATCACCTTCTGGTAATACAGCATGAGACAGTCTTTCTGGTTGTGCAGTTTTTGTTTCTCCTTTGACAATCAGTGTTATGACAGATTTTTTTTTGTAGTGTGAATTGTTGTCATAGAAAAAGTACAAGAAAATCCTTTAAATGATAAACTCCATCTGCCTTGGCCAGATTCCTTAGCTGACCGACGATCTGTAACCCATATTATTGGCTGTTGTGAACTGAAGTTTGTGTTACTTCTTTATCATTATTGTAACATTAACCTGTCCTGTTCCAGACACTGCTGATATTCTGGTTTATATATTCATAACAAAGGCTTCCTTCTGGAATGAGAGGTGTCCCAGCAAATATTGCAGAAATTAAATTACAGCATGTCCACTAACTCCCAACTGTTGTGAAGGAGGCAGAACCCTCCTGCTCTCTGTAACACAAATTTCTTGGTTCCTGAAAAGAGCTTTTATCTGATACTAACCAAGGTAGTAAAAATTCAAAGTCGGAAGTGGATCACAGCCAACTCTTCCACTTCTGCACAAGATAAGTGTGCCATTAACTATGTCTCTTAAAGTTATTTATCTCATGCAAGCAAATGAGTTCAAAGCCTTCCATTTACAGTTATATGATTGTAGATATCTGCTCTCAGGTCTTCCCTGGCTAAAGCTGGGCACTTCACAGGGACAGACAAGGAGTTTGCAGTCCAGTATGGCCCATGAATATAGGTTGTTTGCAAAATAATATGGCAGCTGATAAAAATACATGCCCTCTTCCTCTTTTTTTTCTCACTCTCTAAGTGCATACTGAGCACAGTATCAGCAGCAGCCCTCTCCTTTACAGGTATGTGCCCTGACATTGTGCTTTCCACCTTTAACTTGAGAGCTCTCAGAGACACAAGCTGGTCCAATATACTCACATCAGTTTGAGTTTATAGCATCTCATGGGAAAATTTCGTCATCTCTGTATCTCTGTTTCTCCCATCACTTGGCTTTTTCAGACGTTTTTCTCTTAGAGAATATAAAGGATATAGTACAAATATCAGCTCGATGATGTTACTAACCATAACGTTCTCTGGAAAGAGCTTCAATTTCTCTTCCCATCACTTAGCCTCTGAACTCAGAAAACTTCACTAGGTTTTGGGGATTTTTAACAATTCCTTTCCACATTCTTTTACCTCCTGCCTCTGATGAGATTTCCAACTAGAATGCTCAGTGATGGGTAAATTGCTTCTGTGCTGTGCTGCATTGACAGGAGTAAGGCTTAGTAGTGAATAGTTACTGTGTAGTAACTGTGGAGGCACAAGAAGGGACATAGGTGCTTTTTGCATTGGTGGCAGAGGTATGAGCTCACACATTTTTTACCATGAACTAACAACAGGCTGTGTTCACACAGTCAGATGATGCATAACAGCTCAGTCACACAGTACTGTATCTCAGCCCTACTGCCTAAGCCTCAAAACATGCAGCCTGCTGAGTAGTCCTAAGATGTTCCATACTGCAGAAAAAAACTACATATATATATAACTATCCAAGTGATAAGCTACCTGTTCTCTTAGCTGTTTCCATACATCCAGAGCTGTTTCTAGGTGGGTAATATAAGTGCCATTAAAACCACAAGCTCAGACAAGCTTTCTATAGCCACTCAGGGTGAACAAATACTCCTGGTGGCCTTGTACGTAACTCCATGCCCTAAATCCTTCTATGTCTTGCTTTTACCCCAGATTAGCTTTGGATAGGCCTTTGGTGTTCTAGCTTTCATGAATTATAGAATCATAGAATGATTTAGGTTGGAAAGGACCAAAAAGATCATCCAGTTCCAATCCCCCTGCTGTAGGCAGGGAAAGCTTCCACTAGACCAGGTTGCTCAAAGCACCATCCAACCTTAGCATCCAACTTTCAAGGATGGGACACCCACAGCTTCCCTGGGCAACCTGTTCCAGTGCCTCACCACTCTTACAGTCAAGACTTTCTTCCTAATATCTAATCTAAACCTCTTCTCTTTCAATTTGAAGCCATTCCCCCTTGTCCTGTCACTACATGTCCTTGTGAAAAGTCCCTCTCCAGCTCTCTTACAGTCACCTTTAGGTATTGGAAGGCTGCAATAAGCTCTCCCTGGAGCCTTTACTTTTCCAGGATGAATAATTCTGATTCTCTCAGCCTTTCCTCATAGGAGAGGTGTCCCATCACCCTAACCATCTTCATGGCCCTCCTCTAAACCCACTCCTATAGGTCTATGTCCTTCCAGTGCTGAGGAACCCACAGCTGGATGCAGTATACCAGGCAGGGTCTCACAAACACCACATAAGGAAACATATGGATGCAAAGCAAAGTGTTCCACAGAAGATACCAAAAGTCCATAAAGAAGTATCTTCCTTGTAATTTCAGGTTTTGAAAAGGAGACCCTTCCTTATTTGTCTGCTTGCGTACACAGACCCCATTGAATAGAATTCTAAATAGTTTAATTCCCCAAATTTAAACCCACAAATAATGCTTTCCAAGAGGTTTCCAGAAATGGTAGCTAGCTTTAATTGCCTCCAAATATAACATTCTATGAAAAACATTTTTAGGACACCCATTATTTCAAATTCAGGCTCTTTTAATTTGGTTCAGATGGAGGCACTCAGAATTAATACATGCTTGTGAAGATGATGGTACATATTGCACAAGGGCACGTGTCAAAGGGAGCTATGTAATACATTTCTCAACTGCCAGTAAGAATATGTTAATGATGTGATTGTGTGCAATGACATTGTTTTAACATAGTTGTTCAATGATTTTTACTTGTAGCATGGTAGGTATAATCACAATAACATGTAAGTAAAAAAAAAATTGAAAACCAGTAACAGCAATAATAATAGTATTATTTTAGTATCTTTATTTTAAATGTTAAAAAAAAAGGAAGAACTACAGTCACACACACACACACAAGATCTAGAATGTTTTATCACAAATGAACACAAGATAAAATTAAAAGGTCAAATGTGTGAGGATAAAATAGCATGCACAGAAAGTTTGCAAACTATTTCCTAGTCTCCAGACTTGAAAATGGTAGAGAAGAACATGTGGCAATTACAGAACCATTTTTATTGCTTTAAAACAACACAGTTTAATTGGTTTGATATAAACATTGGAGCATATCTCAACAATGAGCAAAGCAGTGTACTCAATCATGTTACTTTTAATGGAAATAGTCTTGAAAATAGATTGTGTGAAGAACATTTGTCATAACTGCTGGTCTAGCAAATCATGCAAGCACAACTAGATAAATAAGGTAATGTGTCCTGCCACTTCTATTTCATTAGAAAGGTCTTAATTTTCATCTGAATGTCTCTGTCTTAATGAGAACGAGACTTGAGTTTGGCTGAAGCCCAGATCAATTTCATGCAATAACAACAGCAACCATCTCAAACTTCTCCTTTCCAGTAATTGAACTGTATAATATGTTAAAAAACAAAACACATAAGTAAGCAAACAACTTAATAATCTCTATCATAAACTGAAAGCTTTGATTCAGGAGTCTTGAAAACACGATCAGTGAAGAAGTACGGCTTTTGAGGCAGTGGCTGTTGCACATACAAAATGTTGTAGAGATTAGTGAGAAAGCTTTTGCGTTCTTCATGCTGATTCCACTGGAGATGTGCTGAAAGCCATAAAGATGTGCTTCTTTCTCCAACTAATTTATTTCACATCTACAATAATTTGCGGTCAATAAATCTAGGGTGGATTTGCATGGTAAGGCATTGGTGTGGCAAACAGAATGGATAATAACTTTATCCATAATGTGGTTGCGGTATTTTTATAATCAGTTTTGTAATGTGATATTACTGGAGAGTATCATCAACGAGTGTTCAATATGAAACAAAGTTTTCCAAAGCAACACATGCTATATACTAATTCATGTCATCAGAGATCTATCTTATGGTGTATGAGACTCATCTTGTGTGCACATGGCTTTCGTGGAGATGATAGCACAGAGAAATATACTTTTACAGTTCTATAGCTGGGCATTCCAGATGGAACATTTTACCATACATTTTTACCAAAAAGAAACTAATTTTTTCACAAGCCAGAGTTCTCTTGACTTAGGAAGATAAAACTTGTGGAAGGGTTGGAAATTCTGGGATCTTTAATGAGAAATAGCAGCTTTAAAATAACAATTGCAGTAGAGACTATTAACAGAATATTAGTTTATTTCTTTCACCTGTTGATTTTTATATTTAGCATCTTATAAAAAGTAAAAATATTTAAATTAAGGAAGCAATTTCCTTAGAAATATCTGTTATAGAAGGAAACATGTTGAAATCCAGTCATTTAAACAGTCCAGAATTTAATATTTGTTAAAAATAATTTACAGCTCTGTATAATGGTCTACCATAAACATGAAACTTTGAAATTCTAGAAATCCTAGATCCTGCATCTGGCTGGGTTAGTGGTCAGGCTTAAATTTAGGCACAGTCTTCAATTTTCAAGTATTTTCAGTTGTTAAGAAGGTAAAATTTAAGTTATGCAGCATCTGATAACTTGTTTGCCTAGATAACTATTTTTCCTGGAGGTCCTTCCTTAAAGTTTGAAGTGTGATAAAGAGGAAAAAATTGTCTCTCTCTGATTTTGGATTGTGCTGTCTGTCCTAGTCTTTACAAAATTTCAACACACATGGGCATGGATCCAGCAAAGCATGTGCATAATTTGAAACCCATGAATAACTCCAGTTAAAGCTGCCAAAGATGGTAGGATGAACAGAGAAACCACTGAATTTCAGAGCAAAAATACAGGATAAAACTGTATCCTCAAACATAAGACTGCAAACTTTGGAAGGGTACTCATTCAGCGCTTGTCAAGAAGGATGTTGCTTTTCAAGTTATTCACATAAATCACTATGGTATCTGAAATTCATTGAACAATTCATGAGAATTATATTTGCATTTCATTTTCCTTTTCTTAAGCTCCTGTTTCTTGTGACTTTTAACTCCTGTGGGAGACTGGACTGAAAAGTATATGTAATGTTTTCTTCTTCAGCAAAATCATTAGACTTGTATAACCGAGCATCGCTAGAAAGTGGAAGTGTTTTTAAAGGTCAAATCATAAAAATGTAAACTATGGAGGGATTTATCTCTAGGGAGTTATATCAAGTGTACCACTCCCTTATATGAAAACTTAATTGATGTCACTTGGTTGAAATTATTATCTCTTGAGCTGAAAGTTGATATGACGTTATGTAAGATATCAGAGTAAAAGGCATTTTTTGGATCAGATTTTAAGCCCAGCTTGTAGTATCACAATTGGTCATTGTAAAAATTATTATTATGTCACAAACAGAGGATTATGATGTCAGGTGGGGAATAAGTGCAGAAGCAGATAAATTCTTAAGAAACAACGGTGATTCTGTTTTAAAACACTGTCCTCAGAAAGAAAGAACGAAAGAAAAGAAGTACAGGGAAATACACTGCACAGAAGAACACTTGTTTCCAAATAAGATATTTCATAAAGTTTTCCATAAGGTGACAGCTGCTTTTTCAAGCACCACATTCTGTTCTCTGTTACATCAGCATGAATCCAGAGGAATTGCATTTGAATTGGTTTTGCTTGGGACTGACATCAGGGTAACTGACAGTAAAATTTGGCTTTAGTACATTTTCTCAGAAATAGAACCCATTTATTCCCTTCAAAATAGAGAAGGGAGAATTACCACACATCATATGATGTCATGTATCGTTCAACACCTTGGAAGAAAAATGGGGAGCAAGATTTGTTTGAAGTCTGGGGTGTTGTTTTTTCCTCTTCTCCTTCCAATTTTCACAATTTATTGTGAAAACCCCTGTTGCTGAAGCACCATATAGACCTTTTGGGCACAAGGCAGCTCTCCCAACAGTTGGTTTTGCCATCATAATAAAACATTGTTTAGGTACACTGTTCCCTGTCGTTAGCAACATCACGCAAATAGTTTCAAGGCTCTTTATCAGCAGCTAAAAAGGGTGTGTTTAGAACAAAATTGTAATTGGTAAACAGGTCTGAGGTAGAACTCGGCTGCAAGTAGGTAAAGACTAAGCTTGTGTCCATCAGCTTTTGCAATTTCATGCAAAATCACCTTCCTGGAGTCAATGTTTTTCTCAACTTTGTTCTGTAGAAGACTGGGGAGAGAAAGAGAGTGAATTTTCAGTTGCTAAAAGCAAATGAAAAGAACCTGAATACTCACACATCAACCTGCTGCCTTCATTTGTATTCAACAGATGCCTTGGTTTTTCCCCCTCACTGACTAGTCTGTGCTGATCAGTATAAACAATGGAATTTTTGTCTTTATGAACATATTCTTGTTCTGTTTCACCTGAAGATAGAGATGAGCTTAAAGAAAAATAAGTAAAAAAGAAAGAAGAAAAGCAACCCTCATAGACATATTTATAGTTTATAAGGTTGTTGTGTAAAGCTTTAAGAAATACTCAGGAATATGGTTGAGAAATTCATGAAACCAGTGCATGATGCATATAAGCTTTAAACAAAAAGAAGAAAAAACCAAAAAAACACTCAACAAAAAAGAAAACCTGAGGGATTCATCTGTGAGACATTCTTAAATGCCAGGGGAAATGAAGATCCCTAATTATGCTAATTTTATGTTATACTATCAATATACAATATGCATTGTCTCTGTGTGTATATATATAGATAGATAATGTGCATATTTGAGTCCAGACTTTTTCCATTACTATTTTGGTATAATATAACATATGTTTTAATCAAAATACCTTACATACACAGAAAACCTGGCTTATTAGCATATAATTTTTTTCCTTCCTACTCTGGTCACAAGTCACCAAGGTGTTGCTAAGTAGCTAAATCTGGTCCAGAATTAAGAATTTCCATTGCTGTGGCATTACCAGCATCTTTGTCTTTCCTTCTCCCCAGTTACAGGGAATTACAGGCTCTGAGAGAGCAAAAAGGTGTTGTACAGTGTCAGTAGGTCTGCATTACCATATGATCTCCAATAAGCTGTCAAACTGACTTGGTGCAGTGCTCCTCCCCACATCTGGCCATCTTTGCCATCTTTACCACATCTATCACTGCCGTTAGTCCTCAGGGACTGGGTGAGGTGCTCTAAGGAGATCTGAGCACTGAAACTGCAGCTTCACACCCTGCTTGGAGAGAAGAGAAAAGAGAGAAGGTTAACTGCAACTGTTCAGACCTGGGCTTGAACCAAGACCAAGGTCTGGTATAAAAATCTTCATTGTAAAGTCAGGGATGTTTATTACCTGATGCTTCTCGTAGACATTCTCTCTGGTACGCACATACAAATGTCAAAGTATTTGAAGTACTTCTAGAATGCCTGAGTAACAGAAAATAAGCTGGGTTTTCAGCTATTTTCCTAGAGAATTGCTCTAATGATATATGTGTGTGCATGTGTCCAACCTATGTTTGGATTTCCACAAACAAGATTTATGTGACTGACTGGTTTAGCTCCATCCTAAATTTGTTTTGGATTTCAACACTTCAGGAGATAGAAGGAATCTTTCTTTTCTACGTCTATATTTACCTTCCTAAAATATCATGAACTCTGATGTCAGAGAAGCAAATAGAAAATTAATATAATGTAAAGATTTTCTGAAATAGTTACAAATTCAGCCTAGAGGAGGGATAAATTTCCTCTCCCCTGCTGAAATCCCTATTCACTGGGGACTCAGAGAGGGAAAGAGTTAGTTAATGCTTTCTTAGAGCTTGTTTTTCTTTGAATTCCCCTCCCTCTTCTCTTCTAGCACACACTTCTACATATTGCTGACTCTAAAAGCATTCCCAGAGGTCAAATTATTGAAAGCTCAACCAAGTTTTCCTAAGCTATCACAGTTTACTTACCATTCCCAGTTTCCACAGGTTATCTGAGTAGTGATTAAATACCTATCAGTTTTGGCATCAGAAGCCAGAAAATGACTGTTTAGCCCTTATGTTTTGTGTGATATTGTTTGATCTTCCAAAGGCAATTTGCACCTACACACTCTGTTCAACAGAATCAGACTTGTAATTTTTCCATGAAAAAAACATCCTCATTAAAAAGTTTTCCAGTCTAGAAAGTCAAATAGGGCATACGTATGAAGATGAGGAGTTGGTGGTTACAGTTTAGTTGGTCTTATATCTTTGTCACAGACTAATGAACCACTCAGTTTAAGAAGAAAAAAAACCAACAGAGAGAGAAGACGAAAGGTCCAGAAAAGAACGATGATCATAGAAGATGTTGCATAAGCTTTCAGTTTGTGGTTTGCTGCAATTCACCTGGAGTATTTAAAAGCCTGTGATGAATGGGCAGCACAAAAGATAGTGTTGTGTCTTTCAAGTCTTTGACAGTTGGCAGTAAAGATTACTAAGCAAAATTACATAGGGCCAAAAGGTTGGCCATGATGGATCCCAGATACAATAGAACTGGGGATTTTCTGTATACGGAGCGATAAGGAGGGACTTTTAGGCCTGACAGGAATGACTTACATACTATGACAAATGACGAGGTAAGAATGGGACTGTTGGCACAGTACGTGAGAAACACGGGATCGATTTCTTGTCATGTTAACGTCTCAGTGTGTGGCCTTGAGGAAATCCCTTGGGATCAGGCCTTGAAAGGTATACAGGGGTCTACAGATGCAAATCAGAACATAAGACAACTTTCAAAGATGAGCAGATAATCCTGAAAACAACATTTTTGTATTTAACTATGCCTTCTTTTTCTGACCATAGTAGTTTGTTGGGGTTTTTTGCAGGAAAATATTTTATGTATTGTCAGTTGTCCCAATTCAGAAAAAATGTGAGTGATAAAAGCTCAAACTGGATTTGAATGCCAAAGTAGCTGAATCTGTAATGCATTTGTGTGTAATAGACCTTGCAAGTTGTCTCTCCATCCACAAGTGGGGAAAAGGACAGGATTGCTTTATTATCCATCTTTTCAGAGATCAACCAGCTATAAAATCTGTTGGGTTAGAGGAGCAAGTGATTCTGCAGCTGGTCATTTGGGAGGAGACCTTCTGGCTTAATTAGACTTCCCTCAACAAAGTTCAGTACATCAGGCCTGGAATAGAATTTAAGGAGCCAAAAGTTTCATGGCTGCTGTTGCGTTGGTTTTCCCTTTATAACAATTTTTCTTAAATTGCCTTTTTTCTGAAGAATTAGAACATCAAATATTTCTTTGCATTTCCCTCATCTCCTGTAAAAGAAACATATGTCCAGTATTTCCTCAGTGAAGGCCCAACAGCCAATAAGCATAAGCAATTAGAGGGACGCAAGTCTCTGTACTTGGAAGTTAAAAGACTTGGAGGTTTTGTTCAATTTGGTTGAGTACACCAGTGTTAATCCATTGAAAACAGAAGCTACTGGCCCATACCAGGAATTGGGAAAAATAAACTTTTTGTAACTCTTATGAAAGTCACATGCCTGGCACTGAGATATTAAAGTGGGTTTCTTGCCATGGCTCTGGGTATCAGTGGCTGCACATTGGAGTATGAGATGAACATCAGGCAGCAGAGGCCAAGGGAACAGAAAAAGTTTGTTTAGGTTTGAAGAGAAATCTGAAAATGTTGCTGTTCAGACAAGCATATAACCTGTCTACAGAACAGGATGCAAAGAAAATTTTTGAAGAATTTGATGAGGTGTTTAATAGACCTGAAAGCATTGTGAATAAAACACATCATACTGATACAGATCCCATTATGCTGCCAAAAGTACAAGCATCACATAGAGTACCGTCTCATTAGTCCTGAGAAATGAAGGAAAAGTTGATTGTGACAAGATGGTAAGACGCAGTGTTTTTGAGAGAATGCAGATACTGACTGGTCTGGTTAGCAACCCAATCACATACAATAATAAAAAATGTTACGGATTTATGTAGATTGAGGAGATTTGAATAAGGCTACCAAATGCGACATAGCCCAAGGGAGCGCTGGGGAAAGACATGTCTAGACTTCCAATATCAAGGATATTTCCAGATCTAGATGCAAGCCTGTGATTTTGGCAACACCAGCTAGATAAAATTTTAAACTCTACACCTTCACATCTCCTTTTGCTGGTACATTTTTAAGTAACTTTGCTCTGTGATTGCTTCAGAACTCAAGAAGTACCACTCCACAGAATTTTAAATCCTTTAAAAAACAGATGGAAGCAGCTATTTATAACCTCTCAAGCTAATGTGATAATCATCAACGCTGTAAAAATAATAGCTGTTATCTAGTTCAGCTGGTCTGGCTATCAGAAGCATTTTTCTTTGTATAGGCCTTTTATTGGTTTCCTTCTTTTTTTTGTTTTCTTCCACAAGAAAAAGAGAACAACTGTGTCAGCAATAAGCTCTGTGTCAAATAGATTCCAGGTTTAGATTCCTGTCTGATATAGGCAAAGGCCTTGAACTTAGAGGTAGAGCTTCATGACATGTCACCTTCAGGAGTGAGATTAACATCTGAAGTTCCTCTGTATTGCTTCTTTACCCCAGTGCCACTTGACAATTCTTTTTTACTCCGTTAGTTGGTGCATTCACTCATCTGTGTGAAAAACAACCCTTTTCATATGCCCACAGGGACTAGTTTTAAACATTCTTCTTCACCATGTTTCTAGTATGTCCCCACAAAAAGTCTGTAGCGTTCCAAATGAGAGAGTGGCAGCCCGTGACAAAAAAGGGATTAGTGGTAGATGATGCCTGGATATTCTTAAATGAGACTTTGCTTCTGAAGTCCCTCTGCTGTGACACTGCGTTCTGGGTCTCTTGCATATCACATGACTACTGCACTTGTAATTGGTTTCTAGACTGAGCCTCCTTTTGGACCAATAATTATTAAGTTATTTGAAAGCATTTTTCAAGTATCATTATGTGTAGAACTGGAGCAATTTCAAAGGGACCCTTTACAGAACTGTAAATATTCTGCTTATCAAGCAATTCACCTGCTGTGGAAGAAAATTGCAGGGAGTTAAGATTTCACATTTCCTGCAGGAGTGTGCTCTCTAGGGAGGTTTTTAGCAATAAGATACGACTGAGATGGTTTTCTTTCTCTGATTTTAACCAAAAATTGCTCACTCAATCCAAGAAATCTTTCCCTCAGAAATTACCGGATTAGTAGTGAGTGTCAAAAACAGATTCTGGTAATTCCTGCGTAATTCTGAGAAGGACCTGATGACATGAATATAAACAACTAATGACTCATCCAAAACATAGGAAACAGTTCTGAAAACATATGTACATTTCTAAAGCACACTAAAGACTTTGTTAAAACAGTTGAGCTTTCGAGAGCTTCTAAGTATAAAAATCACAGCGGCAGCAAGGTTTGAAGTAATCATGAGTCAAGTAATACTATTTCTGAGTAATGAGAATGATGCACCAAAATGATGCCAACTTGTAAGTGATTGAAAGAGCAATTCTTCATGGATGGTTAACAGGGAAAGCCTAGAAACATCCAAGAAAAATTTTTTGTGGGATCTATCAATGTGAAGTGGCTGCACATATTGGAAGGTGGTATAAAAAAACCTCCAAATCAGAATGCAACACAGCATGAGAGCAGAAATGTTAAACAGAACCCACAAGGGTCTATCTCGGTTTTGAAACATAAAACACTATATAGAATGTCATATAAACACCATTACAGAAAATAAAAATAGGATCTGCAACAAATATGGGAAAAGATGCCAAAGAGTTGTTATTTCTTGTGAACTTACAGCACAGTAATGGAATAATTAATAAAGTTAATAACTGTGGTCTTCATTTCTTCAGGGGATAAGGGTATTATATGAAGAACTGGATTTTACTTTTTGCCTCTCTCTAAACTCAGCAGCTAGATCTCTTTTAAAAGACCAAAGAAAAAAGGTGAATAGATTGTTATTTGAAAGTGAGTTGTTGCCCACCCTAAATTCCCAGAGTTGATGTTTCTGGCACTTGCTGTAGGAGCATTGGCCAAATCATTCCTTCCAAACAGAGCCCAGTTTCGCCTTGGCAGAAGCACCATATGGCAATGGGTGCCTTTGAGATATAAAGCCTCTTCAAGCACCACTGAAGTGCTGCCATTGCCCCTCTCCTTATAAGGGAGTGTAGCATATGCTCTCCTGACTAGCTGATTAGCACTACTTAGAGCTAAATAGCAGGAGGATCAGGTTTTGCCCTTCTCTGTGTCTTCGGGATGGTGTATCCCACAGAGAAAGGCAAAAAGCAAGTGGTCTCTCACATGAAGGACGCAAAAAGTCTCATCTCTCCTCAAATAATGCTGTATCATATCTCTCAGGTGCAATCTTGGAAAAATCAGTATTCATTGTATTTAATCCATACATTTTCTGAGGAAAATATA